TTCTGGGGGGGGGGGGGGGGGGGGGGGGGGGGCGCATGCATTCGTTGCCGCGAAATTCGTCGAAGAATCGGCAGATTTTTATAAGACCGGCAAAACGCACTCTCAAACAGAAAGAAATTTGTTTTTACCATGTTGTGAGATTATATTATTATTATTATTATTATTATTATTATTATTATTACAAAAAAATCGGGGACGTTACGTACGCGATTAAATTCAAATTAACTACGAACTAGGGTGATTTGTCCAATGAACGAATATTATCCGTATTGTACGAAAATGTAATGTTGATCGTTACGCTGTTACAAAAAGCTATTAGAAAATGATTAAATTGTGTTCGGACATGAATAAACTTACCGGTAAACCAGCTCAGTTACGATAATGTTATTAAGGGGATTAAACAACGGTGATGTGTGATTAAAATCAACGGCTTAACTGTTGTTCATGCACTGAACAGGTCGCTCGGGTAAATATCATAATTAATACGTCACGTATAGAAGTACGTGATTCATTCCTGGGATCCTTCAATTAAAATTCAAATTACTATCGATACGTGTTAAAGTAATGCATCATTAACAACAATCGCATCCAGAATTGTTATTTAACGGGAAACTTTGTCGAGTAGCTGTGATCATCTTAGGCGGAGCTCGAATGACGGCCGATTTCTGACAGGTTATGTCGAGATTATGTCAAAGTGTTCTACGTCCGTTATGTACGTCTTAATTAAGCAAATAATCAATTAAAAATACACTCCACTGCCTTTGTGCATGTCTTGACAGCGATTTACATGTCGTAGCAGCGGTTGTGAGTTTTCAATTCGAACTCTAAATCTCTCGATATTTGCGAAAACTGTCGGCGGCGGCCATCTTGTGACGTCATGCCGCGAGATCGACACTACGTTGGTCGAATATTGGCAAATATCTCGAGACAACCACAAAGCGGACGTTTCTACAAGCGAGGCAATCGAGCTTAGCCTTACGGGAATCTGAATTTTCCATTTCTGTATTGCATACTTCGATGTTAAAGCGTCTGTCTAGTTAACGTAACCTCTGCAAACTGATATACATACATACGTACAGGGTGTCCCAAAAATGTCTCGCAACTTTTTCCTTTACAAAAATGTTCTCCGAGGCACCGATAACGAGTTATTAACGAAAAAAAGTGACCAATGAGAGGCGAGCTCAGCTGGCGCGAGGCGACCGAGCCAATAAGCGGAACAGTGCGCTTCGCGCGCTGGTTGGCTGGGCCGCCTCGCGTCAGCCGTACTCGATTCTTATTGGTCACTTGTTTTTCGTTGATAACTAGTTAACGGTGCCTCGGAGAACATTTTCGTAAAGGAAGAAGTTGCTTCAAATGATCCGGGGAACCCGCCACTTTCGGATCGCTGTAAGTTACATAAATTAATCATCGATTTATAAGTGCGCGCGTCGATCCGCCGTTAAATTAAACCGACATCACAACGAGAATACTAATCCGAGGATGGCGTATCCGGGCGTCAGAACGACGATAACAACGATTCGTATGAATACGAGAGTCCGTGATGGCCTGGGCCGCGTATCGGTGATCGTAAATTTTTTGATTAATGCCGCATTAAGGACGCGGCAGGTTCTATCGATCGAGGATGCGCCGGAGCGTGCATGTCGGCATTAATCTGGTTCACGAGTAACAACGTTTTACGCCGGCCGAGCCTCGCAGGAACGAGAGATATCCTCTCGTCGACGCGGAGCGAGTGAACAAGAGAGAGAGAGAGAGAGAGAGAGAGAGAGAGTGGAGAGAGTCGTTCGGAATTCACTCGACACTGAAATATCGCATTTCCAACTAAATCTGGCCGAATCTAATTTTACGGGACCCATGTGCATTAGCGGATTAATGCACTCTATTCCTGGTGGACCAAGTGATGAGATGTATTTGCATGGCATTATACTTGCGCCTTGTCCCCCGCCGCACCCCCGCTTGCGATACCCCACCTGTCCCCGCCCCTTATTCGGCTCTTCAATCCCATCTCTAATTATACGTGTAGCACCACTATGTGTCCTCTTGTGCAGGTGATAATCATATTACTATCCTATCAACGTTATTGCCATTCCTGCTCGCATACCACGATCACACTATTTGAAGTGCTTAGACTAGTGCCGATCGATCAGCCCCTAAGAGGTTCGAATTTACCCTCCGGCAATCGCCCTTGGCTTTGAAGAGGAGAAACAGGAACGGCGGAGGGGGGGGGGGAGAGTATATCAGACAATGGGCAAGCAGCTTCTCGACGACCGAAATATCCTATTAGACCTGGACGATATTTATCCGGTCCCGATTCTTCGTTTCCTTTCTATGCGTCGAACTGTCGCGGACTCATTGGCCCGAGCGGCGCGACCGTCCGGCGAATAGAACGTAAATAAGTAAGGACGTTGGGGAGGGGGGAGTAACGAACTCGCGTTCGCAAAGTCTGCCGCGGAAGTTTCGCGAAACTGGCGCGCGCGCAGCTGTCGCGCACGAGAAGAACGAGCCCGAAGAACGTTGTTGCTCTATCGTCGCGCAACTTCCAAGTAATTTCGCGTCGCCGGCCGGGATATAAATCCGCGACGGAGAAAGGAGGGGGACGGCAACTCGCACGGAAACGAAAGCCACGGTGTTCGATCGGTGAACGGTTAACTGACTCAGGAAGGAAGGAAGGAAGGAAGGAAGGAAATCGAGGCGATCGCGTAATTCTTACATACAAATAGAACTTAGTCGGACAATACGGAGTTGCGTTTGCGTCTGCACTTTAGGCAACCGGCGCGTCTAACCTGAACGCAGGAGTAGAACCGGGGTACACGCGATATGCAAATCCTGAACGGGAAATGCAACGCCGCCACCCTCTCTCGTGTCCCTGTAAATCACGCGACACTGCTCTTTTTCTAATGAGATACTTTTAATTAAAGGATACAGCGCCGGTATCTTAATGCCGTCATAACTTCATCGTCACGATCCGGCGAACTAATAATGATAGGCCCCTTGTTGGCTTCGTGCGACGGCCCCCCTTCCCCCCGCTCGTCAGCCGCGCGGGCAAAGGTGATGAGAAATGCTTTCACGACACTCTCTTCGCCCGCCCTACCCTTTGCCGCAACATCGAGCTTCCCTGCCACTTTTCTTCGTCGACTATCCGTTCAGATTGTTATTGTAATCGCCCCCCCCCCTGGTACGTTATTGTTATTGTTGTCGCGCCGGTGTTCCTCCATTTAATTAGGAGCGTGTGCCACCTTTACGACCGACACGGTCTATCGATCCCGGCGTTGGTTAGTATGCCCGCGATTCGGACACCAGGAAAATGGCACAGTTGCTCGTAACAGTGAATTCGCGACAAATTAATCGGGCAAGTAACCAATGCACGGCTAATGCAGGCTGAGCGCCAAATGCTGTTTCTAACGTAATCGAATTTGCAGGTTGTCCGCCGCGCGCCGACTACAACCGGCCTAACCTATACGCGTCAACGGCGAACTGGCCCGCCCGGCCGACTATACTAATCAAATAATTCATTTCCGCAATCTCGTGTCGCGCGCAATAACGACTCGTCGGTTACCTAGCCGGCTCCGGATTATTCAAAAATAATTTAATCTCTCAGCGGGCAGGTGTCGATTCGATGGAACCTCCGAGCCGCCGATAGTTATGACCGATCGAGTCCGTTTATTGTAGCTTTCACGGTGCTATAATGAAATTCCGAGTAATTTGGCCTGTCCGATGGAGAGAAGGCTTCAAATGTCGAAGCTAATTCCGGGGATTATTTGTTGATCAAGTCGTTTCGGTTCTTCAACCGTGCCATTAAAAGTGAAATAAATGCGGCGTAAGTTCTTCTAATATATTGAAACTATAGTATTTTTTGCTACCGATAAATGCACCGTGTACATGTTTATAAATATTTTTTGGAAAAAGTAGGGTTATTATAACCTTATAACGTGATAACTTGTAAATTAGAGTGTTTAATATTATTCAATTATTAATATAATTCAAATTACTGCAAATTACGGCGTAAGTTCTTCTAATATATTGAAACTATAATATTTTTTGCTACCGATAAATGCACTGTGTGTACATGTTTATAAATATATTTTGAAAAAGTAGGGTTATTATAACCTTATAACGTGATAATGTGTAAATTGTAGT